ATTTGGATATGTGGTTGATAATGATGATGATGACTTTGGGTCAGAGTCTCACTGTTGGCCAGGCTGGAGTGCAGTGGCACGCTCATGACCATTGCAACCTCGACCTGCTGGGCTCAGGCGATTCTTCTTCAGCCTTCCAAGAGCTGGAACTACAGATGCGGAACACCACACCAGGGTAATTAAAAAAAAAAGTTATTGTAGAGACAGGTCTCATTATGTTGCCCAGGCTGGTCTGGAACCCCTGGGCTCAGGCAATCCTCTCGCCTCTGCCTTCCAAAGTGCTAGGATTACAGGCGTGAGCTACTGCACCCTGCAATAATAATAATAATAATGATAAAATTATTATTATTATTATTTGAGTTAGAGTCTCACTCCATCACCCAGGTTAGAATACAGTGGCACTCTCATGGCCACCCCAGCATCGACCTGCTGGGCTCAGGCAATCCTTACGCCTCAGCCTTCCAAGTAGCCAGAACGACAATCACGTGCTACCACACCTGGCTAAGTTTTTTTATTGTAGAGATGAGGTCTTGCCAAATTGTCCAGGCTGTTTTCGAACCCGTGGGCTCAGGCAATCCTCTCACCTCAGCTTCCCAAAGTGCTGGGATTATAGGATTGAGCTACCGTGCCCACTAATTTTTATTATTAACATAAAAAAGTCAATAGGGCTGGGCATGGTGGCTTATGTCTGTAATCCTAGCACTTTGGGAGGCAGAGACGAGAGGATTGCCTGAGCCCACAGGTTTGAGACCAGCCTGGGCAACATGGCGAGACCCCATCTCCACAATAAATAAAAAATTTGGCTGGGCATGGTGGCACACACACCTGTAGTTCCAAGTAGTTGGAAGGCTGAAGCGGAAGGATCACTGAATCCAGCAGGTTGAGGCTGCGGTGGCCGTGAGCATGAAATACTACAACATGACTTATTTTGGAATCCTGTATTTCTCGTTATACTTTTTTTGTCTAGCAGATTCATTTTTTCCCCCTCTCATCAAGTACCATCTATGTCTCTATGCACTGGGCTGTGCTGGGTAGTAACCCTGAAAAGGTACTTTCCAGGAGAAATTTAAAGAGACAATGATGCAGAGGGACTGCTGGGAACAGCAATTAACTCTGCTTGATGAAGTTGACATTTAAGCTGGTATTGAGTGGCAAATAGGAATTTGCTGGGAAAGGATGTAGAATAAAGTGTTCTAGGCAGAAGAGTCAGCAATGAGTAAAAAAAAAAAAAAATAAAGAAAGAAAATTGGGAGTAGGCCTAGCATGTCCATAAAGCATTGTGGATTTTTTTGTTTTGTTTTGTTTTTTTGATTCAGAGTCTCACATTGTCTCTCAGGCTGGAGTGCAGTGGCACGCTCATGGCCACTGCAGCCTCGACCTGCTGGGCTCAGACAATCCTTCCGCCTCAGCCTTTTAAGTAGCTGGAATCACAGGCATGTGCCACCACACCCAGCTAATTTTCTGATTTATTGTAGAGACAGGTCTTACCATGTTGCTCAGGCTGGTCTCGAATCCCTGAGTTTGTATCTGCCTCCCAAAGTGCTGGGATTACAGGCATGAGCCATGGTCCATAAAGCATTGTTGTACTGCCCATAAAGAAGTGTAGTGTGCAGGCGAGGTAGGGGGCAGGATGGGAAAGTAAGACCAACAATGCTGCTTAGATCGAGAACTGAAATTCAATTTTATAACTTACCCAGTTTTTTTTTTTTTTTAAAGATTAATAAATCCAGGTTTTAAATCAGGGAAGTAAACTGTTTTAGGAAGATAATGGTGGCCAGAAAGTGGATAGGAAGACAGCTGCATCGGAGGGACTGACATTAGTGATGAAGCTGTTACAAAAGTTAATTAAAACCTGATGATTAGGGTGAAAGGAGGCTATGTTTCGAATACGCTTTGAAGATGTAAAGTAACTCAGCTAGAAGTAGGATGTGACAACAAATAAAAAGCAGAGGAAGACTTAAAGGTTTCTAGCTTCAGGTGAACGGAGGGTATGGAGAGACTGAAAATACAAAAGGCAAAGTAAATTGGGATAGAAAGGAAGGAGAGGTCAGTTTTAAATATGTGTGCATGCTAAGCCACTGAGATAGGCATGGGAAATTGGCAGTTGGAAATTTAGACCTGGAGCTTGGGAGAAGGATGGGGTTAACATGTTAGCTTTGGGGTGGTCAGTATATTTAAAACCACGGGAATACGTGAGATCAATCTGTTAAAGTATAAAAACAAAAAGAGGTCCAAGAACGAAACTATGGAGAATCCTTAGGTTTAAGGGGCAGACGGAGGAGTGGAGACTTAGCAAAACAACAGGGTATTGTAATAAGCAGTACAAGAGGAAAAAGTGTTGCAGCAGAAGGGATTGTAAAAGTAGGGACTAGTTCATCGTGTCCAATGATGGAGAGAAGACAGATGGTAGGACTGAAAACAAGTTGTGTGGCTTTAGCTATCGGTGACCTTAGCAAAAAGCAGCCTGAAGCTGAAGAGGGAATGGCAAGTAAGCAATTTGAGACAGCAGCGATGGTAGAGTCCTCTTCCAGCATGTTTGTTGGGAAGTCATTAAGCAGGGGCAGAAGGCAACTACGGAGGTAAAGTAACTTCATGATGAAGATTTGAGAATTTCTGTAGAATAGAAAGTCTGATTGGTATTATATTAACATAGCTTTTGATATTTACTTCAACCTTTGGTCTGAAATTAAGAATGATTTAAAAAATAAGTTAAAAACTATTCCTATATACATATATGCCTCTCTCTCAGACTTCTCTTAGACTGGAACTATAATTCTAATTTCTAACCTTAGTTTGAAGAGGGTTAAGAATCACCACTTAGACTTGGATCAAGGCTTTTATTTTGACTTACCACAAAGCAGTTAATAAGCAGTGCAAAGATCATAAATGAGATATGGATGCAGGTGGATGCATTCAGATGCCCACTTCCTGTTTATCACAAAAATTTTGGCCTCAGCAGTTCTAGCAACTAAAATGTCAGAAAAGCATAGTACTGTGGGCTTTCTTACTCCTCAGTCTCCTTCTAAAACTCCAGATATGTTGGTACCTAGAAATAACTTTAGATGAAATTTTTGTTTCTAAGGAAGCCACATCACTTAGCCTAATGTCTGGGTCTTGGGCCTTGAAACTTTGTGCCAGCTCTGGGGCAGTCTTCCTCACCATTTATCACTTATGGTCACCTAGGGTTTTCTCATGGGAAGATGTGGCAGGCCTACACATGAAGTAAGGCAAGAGACACAAGGTGAGATTCCTTTCCTTCATCCTTGTTGGTTCTAGTACAGAGGCTCGTGTTCATGGGACACAGGTACAATGAGCTTACCATTAATATCACTCTGCACTCCAGAAACTTTTTTTTTTTTGAGTTGGAGTTTCACTCTGTTGCCCAGGCTGGAGTGCAGTGGCACATTCACGGTCACCGCAGCCACGACCTACTGGGCTCAGGCAAACCTTCTGCCTCAGCCTTTCAAGTAGCTGGGACTACAGGTGTGCGCCACTATGCTCAGCTGATTTTTTGACTTATTGTGGAGATGAGGTCTTGCCAAGTTGCCCAGGCTGGTCTTGGACCCATGGGCTCAGGCAATCCTCTCACTTCTGTCTCCCAAAGTGCTGGGATTATAGGAGTGAGCCACTGCACCCGGGCCCCCTTTTGTAGTTTTTAAGAAGCAAAGCAAGTTTAAAGATGGTTTCAACCCAGCAACCTCCTCCACTCAGCTAATTCTCTTGACTTCATTTCCCATGAATATCTGTACAAACACACCATGTGTAAACAATGGTGGCAAGGGGTGTTATCCTTAGGGAATCTTATCAAGGCAAGCCCAGATGAAATCTCAGGATTTACTACATTAATGACATTTTTACTTACGGTGACCTTCTTGAGATGCATTAGAGAGAAGTATTTCATATCCAATATGGAAGGCAGAACAACATCAAGACTTGAGACTGCTTGTAATATTCCAAGTGGATTTGAGATTTTAGTTGTATCCATAAATATGGAAAAAACATGTTAAGACTAGCAAATCTCTGAAATAGTGTTTGCATCAGGAGATACTTTTTTTTTTAAAGTCAAGAGGTTCACTCTGTCGCCCAGGTTGGAGTGTAGTGGCACACTCATGGCCACCACAGCCCTGACCTGCTTGGCTCAGGTGATCCTTCTGCCTCAGCCTCTCAAGTAGCTGGGACTACAGGTGAGTACTACCATACCCAGCTAATTTTTTTACTATGTTATAGAAATGAGGACTCACCAAGTTGCACAGGTTAGTCTTGAACCAATGGGCTCAGGTAATCCTCTTGTCTCCGCCTCCCAAAGTGCTGGGATTACAGGTATGAGCCACCATGCCCGGTCATACACTTAAAAAAAATGAGCCACCAAACATCACTTTGATGTCTTCAGCAGGTTTTAGTAAAACCTGGACCTCAATATGGCCTTCTGATTTCAAATGTGTTGCTTCAATTTCTTATTTTTTGTGAATTTTGTGGAGGATGTAAAATCACAGTACATTAAAAAAAAGTAAAGATTTATGTTGTCAGATTCTTTCATTATTTCAGTGCTTGTCTTTTAGTGTAGATGATAAATACCTGTGAAATAGCAAGTAAGGCTATCTATGAGGGACAATGATTTGGGTACCTCTGAAGTTAGGTACCTTATATAAATTTGTGCTTCAGGCCAAAAAACATTTTTTTTAAGTGATGAAAAAATCCTTTTCTGATCTTGACATGCTTAGGTCCTGGAGCAAAAATTGGAATCTAATTCTGTCCACGACAGACTAAGAATATTGCTTCAAGGTAATAAGACAGTAGTTTCAGTGTTTTATTCTTGTGTGAATATGATGCAAAATTGCAGTATGGAAATAATCTGGCACATTGTTAGGCAACTCTACTAACTCCTTACTACTTAGAAAAACTAGGTAGCTACTCTTCTTTGGACTTGAGCATAAAATTTACTTTTTCATGAAACTGAATGTCCTTACTTTAAATTAACACCAAACTAAAAGACACTTGAGTATTTTGCTTTTAATCATTTAATCAATAAACATTGCTTCAGTATCTCACTTATAGTCTCTTGACTTCAATAAATATCTATTTACATTCTATATCTATGCCTGTGTGCTAGATTTATGTTAGTCATTATGTTATTTTCAGTAACTTTAGTTTGATAAAGTCCTGACCACCTAATGGTGATGGTAGCAGAAAGTAGGGTTAGGTCTTTACAAAACATGTTTGATTCTTGCTCACTTTTGTTAATGAGTCCAAAAAACCTTAATTTTGATCCGAAATTTGAAAATGGCAATGACAACTGAAATTTCTGACCATTATCATAAACTACATAAAAATTATGTGACAAAGAAAAAAAGTCTTATATTACTTTTAAGTGTTAATTTTGAAGACATCTCAAACTTCCATGAAGGATAACCCTATAGGTGAAGGGTTCAACACAGAAATCAGTACAAATTTTGGTTACATTGTTAGCAAACAAAATGCTCTAAGAAATGTTCTGAATATTTTTTTCATTAGGAAGGGGAGGATACTTTTTATAGTTGTTTAAGGTGCTGTAATATGTCTACTGATACTCCCAGCTGTTTGACTAAGCTGGCTGTCTGTTCTAAAATCCAGGTGAGGCTTGGGTTTTCAGAATGTGCATGCTCCTGTGTTCTACATCCTAAATGTGAACAATCTATCCCACTAAGGCTCTTGCTACTGTTTTTGTTAACCTCAGCATTATTTTCACAGAGTCTTTCATCTTTAGGTTCATCAATCTTTTTCTCAGCTGGAACTACACGGCAAAGGTCCATATCCTCAATGGAGTCCAATAAATCTACAACATGGGGCTGTGGAGTGATTGATTTCAGATGTGTGAGCACATACTCTTCACACTGGCCAACTGCATCCAGAAGATTATTTATTTTACTGGTCAAAGTTGAACTATTGTCATGAAGGTGACACCAGGATAGCAAAGCACTGAATGAAAACATAAACAAGAGTTAAACAGGAAAACAAATTAAACAGTCACAGACTTTTAGAATGCTTTATGCTAAGCCCCATGTTTCTCTCCCAGATAACATCATGCAAAAATGGATTAATAATAATAATGCAAGTTAAAATCAGGAACGTAATACCAGCAAATAGGACTTAAATACGGATATTCTCTTCCAATACAGTTGGATTTAAGTCATAAAACAATTTATAATTGTTTCACAACTCCACATCCACTTTTCCTGATTTTACATTTTTCCCTAATCAAAATCACCTGAAGAGCTTTAAACTCACATCTCAGACTAATTAAGTCAGGATCTCTGGCATATCTTGCTTTTCAGCTGATTTCAAGGTGCAGCTAAGGTTGAAAACCATTGTTCTAAGCATACAGTCGCTTGCCATCAAGACTGAAAGTTAGAGAACAAAAGTTTTGAAGAAACCTCACTTTCTCAGGTTTATGTTAGAGTAGACATCATTTGCTGAGCTACGATTTTCTTGAAAAAGGTAAAAATTCTTCTAGTCCTAATAGATTTAATATTGTTCAGATAATCATGTCATAAAATAATTGTAATTATGAAAAGTAATGTTTTACAAATGGAATTGATATAAAAGATTCAGCAGTAAGTTTTCTAAACTTATAAAAGATTAATTTAACTTAATGATGTAAAGATGAACCCTGACTATTTTTCTACTGTAGTAGACTATAAATTCTGGTTCCCAACAGTTGGATTTTCCAAACCCAAAACACGATGAATTTTTTTATCTTGATAATGTTTATCGTCTCCCTTTCTTTAAAATTATAGTTTTTTGAAGCATTTTATATTTTTATTTATAGAAGAACAGTTTAAAAGGTATAAAGCATCAAAGAGGACAAGCCTGTCATGCTCCTATGTGTATCATTTGATGATTTGGTTCTGATATGTGCCATTATTGCTATTGCATCCTGACTGGTATTCAATGTTCAGTTCAGGACTAAAGTAAATGGAATCATTTTTCTCTGTATTACCTACTATGCTTTTCATCAGAGGTCTGTTAAATGTGTGCAAGTACTAAAAGTTTTATTCAAAACCTGAAGATCTTTTAATCAGAACTACGTGGTAGTTTGGGTAGCAAAAGTATATATACACCTTCCTACCATTTCTTTGCCAAAAAAAAAAAAAAAAAAAGACATTTGGCTCATGTATGAAAGCAGATAAACTGATAACAATTCTGGCTTTTTTTTTGAGTTGGAGTCTCAATCATTCCCAGGCTGGAATGCAGTGGCATGGATCAGGCTCACCACAGCCTTGACCTTCTGGTGATTCTTTTGCCTCAGCCTCTAGATAAGTTTGGACTACAGGCATAAGCCACCATGCCTGGTTAATTTTTTATACAGACAAGGTCTTGCTATGTTGCCCAGGCTGGTCTTGAACTCCCAACTGGACTTAAGTGAGCTTCCTGCCTCAGCCTCCCCAAGTGCTGGGATTACGGGCATGAGCCACTGTGCCTGGCCGATTAAAAAGAATTTTTTTGAAACTTACTGCTGAATCTTTTATATCAATTTATTCAATTTTTAAAACATTACTTTATAATAAACATTATTTTATGACATGTTTATCTGAAAAATTTTTGAGTTGGGGTCTCATTCTGTCACCCAGTCTGGAGTGCAGTGGTATGATCATGGCTCACAGCAGCCTCGACTTCCTGGTCTCAAGTGATTCCTGAGTAGTTGGGATAAAGTTGTGCCACCATGCCTGGCTAATTTTCTGTAGAGACAAGTTCTCATTTTGTTGCCAAGGCTGGTCTTAAACTCCTGGGCTCGAACAATCTTCCTGCCTCGGTCTCCCAGAGTCCTGGGATTACAGGCATAAACCACCGTGACTGGTGATTTTGAGCTTTTGAAGGCAATATTATTCTATGCTCTGCGACACTTTTTTGTGTATTTAACATCAGGAAAGCACTTTGGTTTAAATATTTTCCTATTACATAAAAATCCTCCAGTAGTATTGAGGTTAAAGTGATTCAGCATTTTAAAAAGTTACCTCAGTGTTCCTCTGAGTTGGCCATAGTTTAAAATGACTTCTGCACCTTCCTTATAACCTTGATTGAAGCCCTGCTGAAGAGTAACTGCTTTGCCAGCATCTATTCCATCTCTATAACCTTCCTAAAAATAAGTAATGGAGAATTGCAGCTATAACTAACACCAAGTGAACCTTTTCTGAAAGGCACAGAACCAATTTAGAAAGTTGATGAGATAGGCCTTTGCTGAAGTAGGTGTTACTGAACATGATATGGTATAGCCACACAACCAAAGCAGACTATACTTCTCATAACACTTTATTATTGGTCTATCTTTCCTTATCACACTTGTGAAGTCTAGACTTAACTGGGCACATTTTAAAACACCGATTCTTACACAGTTTTAAAAACCCTGCGTTGGCCATGTCTTCACAAATAGTATACGTGGAAGATTATGTCTGGTCCCTTGCCAACTGATTGGAATGATGTGGGTAGGAGACTAGGCATGACAAAGGGAAAGAGGAAACTTTTAGGAAAAGGAAAGCGAGACGTCTGGTTTTAGAAATTTTGCTTGACACTTACATTTAACTAAACTGCAAACTCTGAGGGTAGGATTTTGTCCTGTATCTCTCACGGTGCCACAGTGCTCAAAAGATGCTCAATACTTACTTGTATAGCCCCAGACTCATTCAAAGCATTTCTGCAACTGACAACATGGATGTTGGGCTAAGCAAATATTATTTTACTGAAACATCAAACTAGGCCAGATTTCCAACTGCAGCTTTAGGGGCAATTTAAGGGCTGGCAAATATATTAAGTGGATGTGGACCTCACTTTTTAGTCCTCACCCAGAATTAAGCTCTGAGTGCTCCACAGTGAGATTAAGCTTAGTTTCAATGTATAGTGAGACAAATTAGAGAGGAATAATTCACACATAACAAACACAAAAGAAACCTTAATATTCCATTATCTAGCCACCAGCATTTCATATTAGCTTTCCCTTATTGCCCTTTGATGGCATTCTTAAACTCACATTAGCCATATGTATTGGTTAACGTCACTCCTAACTTTAGGCTCCCACCCATTGACGCAACCCACGTAAAGTATGTGTCCTCTGACAGCCACAATTAGTATACCCAGTGTACGTTTCTTCCCCACCCCTACCCCGGTGCTCAACAAACTGCAAGCTCTTCAAAGTCTGGACAAAATTTATTTTGGTCGATCTCCAGCTTCTAACGCGCCCTATTATTTCACGCACTTTGAAGTAACCCCATGGGAAATCTTGTCAAGACAAGGGCTCGATTGAATGGCAGATGGGGCAAGGAGGGCAGCGCCGCGCCAGACCGGGACCCCTCTGAACCCAGCTTCACAACCCCGCACCTCTCTCCCTACGACCCACCCCGCGCCCCAGGGGTCCCCCACACCGTCCATCCAGGTTTACTTTGACTCGTCTCTGCATGTGACTTCGCCATTCCCGCTGCACCAGAAGCGACTCGTCTGCGTCCTCGTCAAACACGTCCACTTCATCTTCAAGACCCTGGGCGGAAGAAGTCGCTTGGACCCACGACATCACCGAAGAAACTGCGGGATCGCAGGCTACCGGAAGCGCCGGCATGTTCTTCCGGTCGGAGGGGCGGGGCGAAGACGGCGAATCAGGGCTTGGGCCGCTGCGCGTGCGCGGGGGCCGTCTGTGGACAATGGTTGCTTTCAGGGCTTTTCGCTGGTGATGGTTTGGGGCTCCCTCATACGACAAAGTGTCGAGAGACGCCTGTTCGTTACGGGCGAGGCAGATTCCTCCAGCTCAGGGCCCGCACGAACTTAATCTCTGCAGAAGACAGTCCGGATCCTGGGGAAACACCTTCCGTGCCCACCATAGTCTCTATTTTGGTCTGGGTTTTACACACGCTCGCGTTGCTAAAAGCATTCAAGGGAGTGAAGTTGAAGGGTGATTACTGCCCAAAGACTTTGTCACTTTTGGAATCGCCCTCGGTGCATTGAAGGGATTTGACAACTTGACATTTTTTACCGTTAGGAGGGTGGAGCAAAGGATAATAGAAACAAAAAGTTAGATGATGCTGCCACTTTGAGATCCATAAAGAATAGAAAGGATACATTTGTAAAATCAGTACATTTTTCGGTGATTCATAGTATTTTTCTGGATATTCTCCACCCTTGGTGAGATAGGGACTTGTTTATATACACTCAGCACCAGCAGAGTTCTGAAACATAGAATATGGTGAACCAGATGTTGGTGAAATGAATGGACACCGGTAACATTCCTGTTTTGCCTGAGTAAAATGAGTCATGTGATAACCATGATTTGTTTAACGTTTTCTTGAACTCCTGCTTTGGTCAGACATTGTTCTAGGCTTTTGGAATACATCAATGAACCATACAGATAAAAGTTCCTAGTGCTTGTGGACTTTATTTTCATGCAAGATCGACAGGATAAGCAATAAGCAATCTATAAGTAATTGATATAGTTGGTTATAAGTTCATAAATGCTGTGAAAAAAATTTAAAACAAGAATAAGGGGAACTATGAATATGTGTGAGAGTGAGTGGGTGATGCAGGTTACAATTTTAAATCTTCAGAGAGAATTTTGCATCCCATAAATAAAAAAATATATAAACTATGAGTATGTGTACTTTATTAATATAAAATGTGTATATATTTTAATTAGAAGCAAAATGGTAGTAAGGAAAGCAATAAAGATAACAAAATAGAAAGCCTCAAACTTTGCATAAACAGAATGAGACTCCAACTCAAAAAAAAAATACAATTTTTGCTTTCTTTAAAAACATCAATGAGATAGATAATCCTATCATGACTCTGGTTTTAAAAAAGAACAAAATTATGCAAGATAGAAATGAGAAAGGAGGCAACCACTACTATAGGAATATTATGAATAGGAATATTGCAGCTGTAACTAACAGCAATTGAACCACACATAGACTTTTCTAGAAAGGCACAGAAGCAACTTAGAATTTTTGTGAAATAGGCCTTTACTATGTTATTGAACACAAGATGGTGTAGCCACACAATCAAAGCAGACTATACTTCTCATAAAAGTTTATTATTGGTTTATCTTTTTTAATCCCACTTTTGAAGTCTAGATGTAATAAGCACATTTTAAACATATAATATTCCTCTAGGAATGTTATGAATTACTAACTAAAACTGAAGGGCAACATATTTGATAACCTAGGAGATCTGAATGACATTCTAACATAATTGATCCAAGTAGAAAACATGAAGAAAACCAGTTACCATAGAAAAATTGAAGATTGACCAGCCACAGTGGCTCATGCTTGTGCTTTGGGAGCCTGAGGTCAGAGGATAACTTTAGCCCAGGAGTTCGAGACTAGTCTAGGCAACATAGGGAGACCTCATCTCTTAAGAAAAAAAAAAAAATGTAGCCGTACATGGTGGTGCATGTCTGTAGTCCCAGCTCCTTGGGAGGCTGAGGCCAAAGGATCACCTGAGCACAGAAGGTTGAGGGTGCAGTGAGCCACAATCCTGCCACTGCACTTTAGACTCTGACTCAAAAAATTAAAAAAAGGAAAATTGGAGATTAAATATCTACTATTAAAAAATAGCATGGAGACCTGGCAGTTTCACAGTTAAAACTTTTTTAATCTTTAAGGAACAATGGATAATTAAATTATTTTTACTATTTCAGGGGAGAGAAAAAGATGGAAACTTCCTAAACCATTTTTTGAAGCCAGGGTAACTGTAACCTCATAAAGATAATATCAAAAAATAAATCAAAGTTCAAGTTAGTTTATATTTATCCAAAGGAGAATCTAGTACCTCATCAAATGAATAGCTCAAGAAGTTTTATCCCAGGGAAGTAAATTTTTACAATATTAGGAGATCTATGAGTATATTTTATTGCATCAACAACTTAAAGGGAAAAATGTTATGTTAATAAATGTTGAAAACATCACTTGAAAAAAATTAAAAATATTTATTTTTATTTTTTTAAATTTAAAGATGTGGGGTACAAATCGGGAGAAGAAATTAAAAATAATTCTTAACAAAACAAAATGAAATAGAAATTACAAGTTGATAAAGATTTTACCAAAAATCCAACAGCAAGTAGTATTTTAAACACTCAGATGTTGAGATAGTTCCTTTAAAGTGTAGGAAAGAGAGGGCATTTGATGATAACCATTATTATTTAACATTATTTTGGACACTATTGTATGCAATAAGAGAAGTAAACAAAATGATGTGTTTAAATATTGAATAATAAAAGATGAAGTTATTTCTTTTTGCTGATTACATGATTGTATGTCTAGAAAGTCCAAAGGATTTCAGTTAAAAACAACAGAGTAAAGAAATTTGATAAGGACTCTAGATATAAGAAAAACAACATATCAATAACCTCTTTAACAAAATTAGTTTTTTTTTTTTTTGTCGAGAGTCTCTCTATGTTGCTCAGGCTGGTCTCAAAATCCTGGCCTCAAGCAATTCTTCTGCCTTGTCCTCCCAAAGTGGTACAGGCATGAGCCACCATGCCTGATCAATAGCTTCTATTTTTTTCTACCAATAATAACCTGTAAATGTAAATGAGATAAGTATTCCACTTGCAGTACCAGCAAATATGATTGAATATACAAGGGGAGACCCCCAAATCTCAGAATTTATTTATTAAAAGTTGGGTATTTATTCTTACATGTTTAAACTTCAGTCACCTTCAAAGTACTCTCCGTGTGATGCAACATACTTATTGAGACACTTTTCCCATTGTTCAAAACAGTTTTTGAACTTGTCAATTTTGATACCTTTCAGTGCTTCTGCCATTTTTTGTTTCACTTCTACATCAGCAAAATGCTCCCCTTTGAGGATTTTTTTCATCCAGGGAAACAACAACAACAAAAAGTCGCTAGGGGTGAGATCGGGTGAATAGGGAGGGTGGTGTACGGGGATCATACTGTTTTTGGTCACTGCTGAACCCTCAGTTTGGTGTGGGCAGGTATGCTAATAAATCATCCATCATGAAATGGGCAAACATGTTGAAAGACTCTCCAAAAGAAAATTTACTGAAGCGAATGCAGCCTCTCACAACAATGCAAGCTGGTACACTGTTGCTGATGGGTTCCCAGAACACTTATCTAATGGAGGAAAACTGTACTACAAGAAGCCCTCCCTCTAAACAATAATTCCATTTTTTGGGAATTGTTTATATATTTGTTTAGTAATTGTTTATATATTTGTTTAGTACTTATTATTTATTTAATATAGTATTTATAAATGTCAGGGAAAAACTTTAAAAATCACACAGCAACATGCATACATTTTGAATGTACAGTATTATGAGTTTGACAAATACATCTGTGTAACCACCACCCAATCAAGATATAGATAAAGACCATCGTCCCAGAAAATTCCCTCATACTCCTTTGTCTGTCACTCCCAGCAACCTGTGATTGAATTTCTGTCACTTTAGTTTGCCAGTTTTAGAATTTCACAGAAATGGAGTCAAATATATCCTCTTATGCATTTGACATCTTTGACTCTACATAGTGTTTTTGAGATTCACTTATGTGGTTGCATATACCAGTAGGTTGTTCTTTTTAATTACCAAGTATTATTTTTATTGTATGGCTATGCCATAATTTGTCTATTTACTCATTGTTGAACACTTGGGTTGTTTCCAGTTTTTGACTATTATGGACATTTTTGTACATGTCATTTTATGGAGACATGTTTTTATCTCTTTTGGGTAAATATCCTGAAGTGAAATTCCTGGGTCATATGGTAAGTATACATTTAACATTAAAAGAAACTATCAAGCTATTTTCCACAGTGACAGTATACTTGACACCTCCACCAGCAATGTATGGGAGTATCAGTTGCTCCCATATCCACTATCTCACTTGGAAGTGTCAGTCTTTTTAATATTAGCTATTCTGATGGGTGTGTAGTAGTATCTATTTTTTTTTTTTTTTTTTTTGAGTTGGAGTCTCACTCTGTTGCCCAGGCTGGAGTGCAATGGCATGCTCACAGCCACCGCAGTCTCGACCTGCTGAACTCAGTGATCCTTCTGTCTCAGCCTTCCAAATAACTGGAACTACAGGCACATGCCACCACACCCGGCTAATTTTTTGATTTTTTGTAGAGATGAGATCTTGCCAAGTTGCCCAGGCTGCTCTTGAACCTGCAGGCTCAGGCAATCCTTTTACCTCAGCCTCCCCAAGTGCTGGGATTACAGGCTTGAGCCACAGCACCCAGCCTTAGTATCTATTACTGTGGTTTTAATTTGCCTTTTTCAGATAACTTATTATATTGAACACATTTTTGTGTGCTTACTTATTATTTGTAGATCTTTTTGAATGAAATCTTTGTCCATACCAAAAAAAAATGGGTTGTCTTCTTACTGTGTTTTAAAAGTTCTTCGAATATTCTGAACGTAAGTCCTTTGTCAAGGCATGTTTTGTGAATATTTCTCTGCACTAATTATATCCATCAACAGACAGATGTGGAGATGGAGTCAGGAGGGCATGAGGCCTATTGGCAGGTGGAGAATAAAATGCCTGTGAAAGATAAAAAGAGGAAGAATTGATTAGGCAGAAAAAGACTTCAAAAAGTGAGGCTG